CCTACTTTTAATAGAGCTGGCTGAGTCAATAGTACAAAGAAACAACAGATCGGTAGCTGTGGCACTGTGTGCAGAACAGTCTGCACACAGGGGCATTGATGGTCATGCAGTCTGCTGTGTGACAGGTAAGAGGGAGCTACATGCAAGCATTTAGCCTCACAGATTCATAAGGAGAATAAAAGACAAATGGATACCAGGTAGTGGTGGCATATCCCAGCACGCAGGAAGCAAAGACTGATGGATCTCGTGGGTCACTGAGGATCTGCTTTACAGAGTGAGTTCTAGGACATCCAGAGCTCCATAGAGAAACAGTGCACATATATACATTCGGACAAAAGACTCATGGGCATGAAATAAAATAAATCTGGGCAGTGGTAGCACAGCCTTTAATTTCAGCACTCAGGAGGCAGAGGCAGGTGGATCTCTGTGAATTCGAGGCAGACTGGTTTACAAAGCAAGTTTCAGGACAGCCAGGGCTACACAGAGACACCCTATCAAAAAAAAAAAAAAAAAAAAAAAAAAAAGTGTTTCTGGTTGCTGGAAATCTTGTGATGTCCCCTCAGAGCTATCATATGATACCGGAAAGAACCAACTTCTGCAAGTTGTTCTCTAGCCATGTGCACCAGGATATACACATGCAAATCAATGGGGAGTAGGAGAGATGATGGTTTAATAGTTAAAAGCACTGGCTGATCTTGCAGAAGACATGGGTTAGCTTCCCAGCATCCATATGACAGCTCACAATCATCTATAACTCATTCCAGGGGATCTGACACCTTCTGGCCTCTGTGGGCACCAGGCATGCATGTAGGGCACATACATGTAAGTAAAACACACAAAGTAAAATTAAATGAAATATTTTAAGAGGGGCCTAGAGGCTGGCACATAACTTTGATCACAGCATTCTGAGGGCAGAGAGAGGTGGATTTCTGTGAGTTCAAGACCAGACAGAATGAGTTCCAGGACAGGCTCCAAAAGCTATAGAGAAACCCTGTCTTGAAAAACAAAACAAAAAACAAACAAAACAAAAAAAAAAAAAAAGAAGGAAAGAAAAGGAGGGGGACTAGAATCAGAATGGGCCTATGCTAGCTCAGTGGGTAAAGGTACCTGTCAACAAGACTAACAGCCTGGGACCCGAATGGGGGAGGATAAGAATTAACTCTTGCAAGTTGCCTTCTGGCTTTCACTTGCACACCATGGCATACACACCATACATTCACACTTATGCACACAAAATAAAGTAACTAAAATTTATGTCAGTGGCCCTGTCAGAAGAGCAACAAATGGCAATTGACTTCAGGGATTGGGTCCACCAGGAAACAAAACCCTGATGGGTAAATCTCAGATAAGCAAGGCCCTGAGACCACAGACCCCAGAGTGTCTTTTGCTTCTGTTGTGTCTTCATGTGTTCCCACTGTCATCTTTCTCTGGTAATCTGGTATGGTGTGAATGATTCTAGGGACATCCCTACTACCTCTATTGTATATGTTTATCTCTTAGAAACATCCCATTCTACTGCTTATTTTTACCTGTGGATTATTATGAGATGATTTCCTCCTTAGCTGTACTGTTTAACTGAAGTAGTGATTTTATACAATAACAGTGTTAGTTTAAATAGGATTCTGGGCAGTGGTGGCACACACCTTTAGTTCCAGCACTTGGGAAGCAGAGCAGGCAGATCTCTGTGAGTTCAAGGCCAGCCTGGTCTACAGAGTGAGTTCCAGGAGAGGCTCCAAAGCTACACAGGGAAACCCTGCCTCCAAAAACAAAACAACAAAAGAAAAGAAAAGAGAATAGAGAATACAGGAGAAGAATAATGAAGGAAGCCATCAAAAGAGTGTGAGTGTCTTTTCCCTTACTACTTCAGATTTAAAAAAAAAAAGTCTTAGTACCCCTCCCCTTACATTCCCTTTGAGCCCCGAGATGCTGGAGGCTGATCCCCCAGGCAGTGAAAATTTTAAATAATCAAAATGACAGACTTGGGAGCATAACCTGTAAAATGCCTGCCTGCCTACCATGTCAAAGACACTGGATTCAAATCCCAGAAACACCAAGAAAAAATAAAAATCACAGTGGACTTATGAACCTAGAACACTGGAAGCTAGAATTCCCTGAGATCCTGCAGGATTTGCTTCTCCAAAATTAGGATACACACCCTGGAAGACCCAGCATTCAGACAACAGGATTCCATCTGAGGTGAAGCCACAGGCACTGTAAAGGCTTCTCAAGTGGAGGCCCAGCTACAAGTTCTCTGAGGAAAAAGACCCAGTCTCTTGAGTAGGGCTGCTGTAATGGGTCACTTCAGATCCTTGGAAACTGGGAAAGGTTACTGCAAGGAAGTTTATCAGCTATTGGAATGTTTAGGTATAGAAAAACAAAACAAAAAATCATAGCTTTCAGGAAGAAAGGAAATGTAAATAGTATCCTACTAGGACTAGAGTTAAGAGCACTGCTGCTCTTCCAGTGGACCTGAGTTTGGTTTCAGCACCCATGTCGGTAGCTCACAATTGTTTGCAACTCCAATTTAAGGGGATCTGACGCCTTCTTCTGGCCTCCGTGGGTACCAGGCATGCACACAACATACAGACAGACAAAACACCCATCCACCTACAATTTTCCCCCCCCAAGACAGGGTTTCTGTGTGTAACTGCTGTTCTGGAACTCACTCTGTAGACCAGGCTGGACTTGAACTCTGCCTCCTGAGTACTGGGATTAAAGGTGTGAAGAACGACTACCACCTGGCTTTCTTTTTGTTATATCTGTTTATCTTTGTGGGTGGGTGCATGCTTATGAGTGTGTTGAGATACAAGTGTGGAAGTCAGAGGACAGCTTGCAGGAGTTGGCTCCCTCCTTCCACCATGTGGGTCTCAGGAATTGAGCTGGAGTCAATAAACTTGGTGGCAATCACCTTGCCTGCTGAGTCATCTCTCTGGATCCTCCTTCTTTGGAATTAAGCCTAAGGACTCACACATGCTAAGGAAGTGCTCTATCACAGAAATATCTATTCAGTTCCTGACCCACCCCCAGCCTTTCCCTTGTTTGTTTTTCATGACAGGGTTCCTCTGTATAGCCCTGGCTGTCCTGGAACTTGATCTGTAGACCAAGCTAGCCTCAAACTCTCAGAGATCAACCTGAGTGTTTGACTGCATGTATGCATATGCACCACATGCATACCTGGTGCCCATGGGGTCTAGAACAGGGTACTATATTCCTTGGAAGTAATGTTACAAATAGTTGTAAACTGCCATGTAGACTCTGGAGACCAACCCTGGATCATCTGCAAGATCAGTAAGTGTTCTTAGCCAGCGAGCCATCTCTCCAGTCCTGCAGCACGGAGTCTATTGTTCTTAATAATAAAAACTCAGCAGATATTGGACTTCAAGATCAGAGAAGCCACTAGAGAGTTCTCATCTCTACCAATGCTCAGACAAAAAGGGTGATCCTGTCCTCAGACTGCATCTGTCTTCACCAACCCTCAGACTGCACTGAGCTCTTGTCTCCTCTCCCCTTATATTCCTCTCCAGTGCTGGGATTAAAGGTGTGGGGTCCCAAGTGCTGAGATCACTGTTGCTTGAGCTCCATTTTTTCTTTTAGACTGGATCAGTTTCTTGTAGCCCAGAGTGGCCTTGAACTAACAGAGATCTGTCTGCCTGTCTTCCGAGTGTTGGGATTAAGGGTGTATACCACCATTGCCTGGTCTCTATGGCTAACCAGTGTGTCTAGCTTTGCACTCTGATCTTCAGGCAAGCTTTATTTGTTAGATCATAAACAAAATATTGACACATTTCCCCTTTTGAACTTTTTTAATTGCAGACAAGGTCTTCCTAAGTTGTCCATGCTAGAAACATTCTATGCTCCTATCACAGCCTGCCTAGTTCTTGGAGTTACCACCTGCTCTATCAAGCTTTCCTGGGTGTCAATCCCAGCATGGATCAAACAATATGGTCACATGGATTTGCATTTCTCAGGCTACCTCCAGGGGGCGCCTCACACCTGTTCCATTGCTATTCCCAGAGGTCTGATTTGGAGTGAGCAGCAGCGCCTGGGGACCTAAAGGCCTGGGGACCTAAAGTAGCCTGTGTCGTGCCTAGCTGCCCGCCCACAACACTCTCCAGGCTGCTCTCTCCAGGACTAGGGCTCCCAAAGGAACACAGCAGTGATGGGGGTGGCTTTCATTGACGCTTGTCTGGTCTCAAAGGTCCTCATGCTCCCTCTGTATCCTCTACCAGCCCCATGGAAGTATTCGCTCTGACAGGCCTGGAAGAGTTGAAGCAGCAATAGATCTCCCCCACCAGCACTGAGTGCCTACTGTGTGTCAGAGATGGTACCTATAGTGTGTCAAAAATAGTTTCAAGACCCACACCTTGCAGATGTGTGTGTATTTTTATATTTGTTTGTTTGTCTAGGTACGGGTTCTTACTAGCCTTAAACTGGCTGTGTAGCTCTGGCTAGCCTCAAATGTGTCCTCACTGTGTAACACAGGCAGGCCTGGAACTCACCATCTTTCTTGCCCCAGCTTCCCAAGTGCTTGGGTGGCAGGCATGTAGTGTTCACACCCGGCATTACTTGTTTATAAATAAAAGACAAAGTGATCACTATCACCACTCCCTCACTTTACATTTTTGATTGTTTCTTTTTATTTTTTAAAAGATTTATTTATTATGTATATACTGTTCTGCCTTCATGTATGTCTGCAGGCCAGAAGAGGGCACCAGATCTCATTACAGATGGTTGTGGGCCACCATATGATTGCTGGAAATTGAACTCAGGACCTCTGGAAGAGCAGCCAGTGCTCTTTCTGTTTTGTTTTGTTTTGTTTTGTTTTTCAAGACAGGGTCTCTCTGTGGCTTTGAAGGCTGTCCTGAAACTTGCTCTGTAGACTAGGCTGGCCTCGAATTCACCTGTCTCTGCCTCCCAAGTGCAGGGATCAAAGGCATGTGCCACTACTGCCTGGCAACCATTCCCTCATTTAAAAATAGGGAAACTGAGGCAGGGGGATTATGGTACTTACTCTCTCCACCCTCATCAGCATCGAGTCTGAGGCAGATTTGAATCCAACTACCCAGACCCAGAGTCAGGTTTTCCAAGTGAGGGAGGCCTAGAGGACCTGCTAGAACCCTGGGGCTCTTCTACCTCTGAAGTAGGTGACTCCTCTTTCCCTGCACTCACCTTTTAAAAACTCAGTCTTTACATTTTTTTATTATTTTGTTAAGTATGGGTGTTTGTCCTGCATATATGTCTCTGTCCTACATTCATCCTGGTGCCTGAAGAGGCCAGAGTTACTGATGGTTGTGAGCCACTACACTACATAGGAGCTGAGAATCAAACCAGGTCATCTGGGAGAAAAGCCAGATCTCTTAACTGCTGAGCCATCTCTCCAGCTCTCACCCCACTCCTCTTGTTTGAAGATCAAAATATGGTATTTCAAGCTGGGAATGGTGGCATGTGTCTGTAATCCAGCAGGGTCAGGAGTTCAGAGTCATTCTAGGCTATATAACATATTTGAAGCTAGCCTGGGCTACATGAGAACCTCTCAAGAAACCAAAACCAGGGGGCTGGAGAGATGGCTCAGTGGTTAAGAACTCAGATTGGCTTCAAAGTCATTGTAACCCTCCTGCCACCACATGTTTGGACAATGACTCTATTTTTACTGGGTGATATTTCTGAAGAGGTATAGCATACTTCTAGTCACTGTGCCCATCTCACCCCAGAGATCTCCAACTCTATGGCATCTGCTCTTCAGTACACACACACATTAAAAATATATAAAAATAAAAATGTAATGGTTTATTTATTAATTTTAATTGTATGTAGGTGTGTGTGTCTGCATATGAGTATATGCAAGTGAGTGCAGGTGCCTGCTGGAGGTCAGAGCCTCAGACCTCTGGAGCTGGAGTTACAGGTAACTATGAGCTACTTGATGTGGGTGGAGAACCAATCTCAGGTCCTCACTGATGAGCTATCTCTCCAGACCCAAAAATAAATATTTTTTTAAAAAGGGACAAGGGAGCTGGGCATTGGTGGTGTGTGCCTTTAGTCCCAGCACTCAGGAGGCAGAGTTTGAGACCATTCTGGTCTACAAGAGCTAGTTCCAGGACAGCCTCCAAAGCCACAGAAAAACCCTGTCTTAAAAAAAAAAAAAAAAAAAAAGAAAGAAAGAAAAAAAGAAAAAAAGGACAGGGGACCTGGAGAGATAGTTCTTTGGCTAAAAGCCCTTGTCGTTGCAGAGGGCCCAAGTCTGGGTCCTGAAGCCACATAGTGGCTTACAACCATCTGCAATTCTAGATCCAATATCCTCTTCTAATCTCCACAGGTACCAGTCTGTGCACACAGTGATAATATAGTCATATACATAAATAAAAACATTGAAAAATAAAAATGATGATATCAACAAAATCCCCGGTGTTGGGTATCCGAATGTGCTGTACCTGAAATGGCTTGTTTGTTGAGTGTAGGAGAGTTCAATCAGAAGGATATGGATGGTCAGGGAAGAGTACATTAGATCCTCCCCTCTTCGTTGGGGGGATTTCTCCACCAGAGCCATTTCAATAGGGTCTTAAAGGAGGATGAATGAACAAATCACAGGTTGTGGGGTTAAGACCCCCCCCAGTTGGTTTCTCTGGTGAAGAGGTCTTGTGAAGAGGCAGGATCACAGAGGAGCTCTGGAGTTTGGTAGGGCCAAGTCAAGCCTGCTGAAGCTGAGGGTTCCAGGAGGGACTGCCTCTTAACCTTCTAGGTCTTGGGAAACAGGGATGGCATCATAGGGCCAAACCATCCTGCCTGTCTGCCTACTTGCCTTCCTTCCCACCATCCCCCTCCTTTATTTCTTTCCTCTTCCTAGAGATAGGGTTTCATAGCTCAGGCTGACCAGGTAGCCCAAACTGACCTTGAACTCATGATTCATGCTGGGATTATAGAACTGTTTCAATGTTTTCAAGCATTCTTCCATCTGTGGAGGATGGGTTTATGTGGGAATTTAAGTGCTCTAACAGGTAGGAAGAGAGACAGCCCTCAGGGGAGGGTGGCCCAAGGCTCTCAGAACTCTACCTGTCTGCTTTCAGTGAAGCCTCCACAGTAGCAGTTCCTACCAAGGGGACATCCCTTTGCCACTGGCCCATCCTTGTGTTCTGAGACCATGGCAATGGGACTCCCTTCCTGACAGTTCCCTTCCTGTGGGTGAGGGAAGAGCAAGCAGATATATCCCCACTAGAGCCTCAAGAGCAATCCAGCTAGCGACCTACTCAGTGAGATGCTTCTAATTGTCTGGGTTCCCTCTTCTCCCTCCATCCATCCACCCTCTTCTTTCTCCCTTGGGTGAGCGCGGCAGGTGCCGCGGGGGCGAGCCGGGGCGTGGCCAATGACAGACTTTTGTCGTACCGACTGACCAGTCTCCTCCAGCCTCCTGAGCTCCGACGTCCTAATTCCACAGCAGGCATAAACCCTGTTCTTGGTCTAGCCCACCAAGGGGCCTTAGAAGTGAGCGCGCTGGCGCCGAACGGAGAAGTGCGGGGCCCCGGGCCGGGGGTTCCTGTGAACTGGCCCCTGCTGCCACTGCTGCTGCTTGTGCTCCTGTTGCCACTGCCCGCTGGGGCCTGGTACAAGCACGTGGCAAGTCCCCGCTATCACACCGTGGGTCGCGCCTCGGGTCTGCTCATGGGGCTGCGCCGCTCTCCGTACCTGTGGCGCCGTGCTCTGGGCGGGGCCCTTGGACCGCTCTCCCGGGATACTCTGGTCCCGGGGCCGGTCACTGGCAGCGCTCTTCCCCTGCTTCCTTTACCGGTGCAGGAGCTGTGGGAGGCACGACGCAGGAGCTGGAGGGCTGGGCTTCCCGTCTATGAGTCCCGGAGTCCGCGGGACCTGGAGCGAGCCCGCCAACCGGAGCATTCGCTGAGCCTGCGTTCCTGGATCTCCGCAGAGACCCCTAGGTAAGTGGGAGAAGGAGGAGGCAGGGAGTGGGAGCCGCCAAAGGAGTTTCCAGGGGTCTGACCAATAGCCAGCCTCTGCATATTGGTGTTTTCTTGTTTGTTTGCCTTGTAGCTCAGGTTAAACTCCTCCTGATCCTTCGCTCACCTACCAAATGGTAGGATTACAGGCGTGGCCACCCCGCCCGGTTTATAGGGTAGTAGAAATGGAACCTCGAACCTAAGCAAGCACATTGCCCATTGAGCCCTATCTCCAGCCCTTACTTGTTTGTTGTTTTATTTTATTTTGTTTGCGATTATTCTTTCCCATCCTCTTGGGTACTGATTTTACAGGTGTAGTCACCATGCTTCCACCCTCCCTACCCATTTTGTCTCCCATTATGTTAGAATTTCCCAGAGTCCCTTCCCTAGCATCCGGAGGACCGAATGGAGCGCACTTCCAGTGCTTCCAATGTCCTACTCCGTTCTTTCTAGAGCCTTGGGAGAGACGCTTCGCGCCCAGCCATGGTTCCTGCAGCACATCCTCATTGCCAACCCTGTCAGGCTCCGAGACCATCCCAAGAACTTATGGCGCCCCCAGGCCTGACCTAGGCAGAAGCAGTCACGACTGTTTCCAGGGAGCACAGCTCGTAGCGTCAGCCAGTCTTCATGGTCTGGTCAATAAAACCAACCTGGTTTCTGCGCCCCCGCGTGTGACCCTTTTTCTCTGTTGTGTACTTTGCGTCTAGCTTCAGGGCGTACATAGCTGCACGCCCACGCCCTGGCAAATGTCAAGAACCCCCTCCCTGATGAGACCAGCTCATCAATCAGTCCTTAGGGGCACAGTCGGGGGTGGGGGGGGGGAGAGCAAAGCTGAGAAGCTTCCGGGCCTTGGGTTGCTTCCTCCTTAGTGATCCGTTCCCTGTTTATCATTGTATACACCAGCTCAGGATCCAAAATATAGCGACCCAACCTACCGACCCCTACAGGAATCAAGGCATACATTTCCAGGGTTCTGCCTGTCCACTAAAACATATGGGAGGAGAACCCAGTGAGTGGATTCTCCAGGTGGCCCTCTCTCCGCCATCTGTCCAGACTGAGGAGACTTGTGAGCTTTGCCCCTAGCCCAGGCAACCCACCAGGTCTTTTGCTCACTTTCTGGTATTAATTTTGTCTGAATGTTCTCGAACCTCTTCCGTCCCCTCAGCATCTGGAGGATAAGCAGAAGACACAGGTTCCTTTATACTTATGCTTCCTTTTTAGGGAGGAAGCCCCTCAGCCCTCACACCTCACTTCTCTGCCTTCTCTGCATTTCCAGTCATTTGCTCTGGTACCACACAAATACACTTTGTCAACTGTGCATTGGGGCACAGGCCTATAACACTAGAATTTGACCAACTGAGGCAGGAGGATTGCTGAGTTTGAGATCAGCCTGAGTTACATAGTAATTTCCAGGCTACTGTGGAACAAAATACACAGGACAGACAGACAGACACACACACACACCTCTTTGGGCTCCCTTCAGCTTCACATATCTGGGATCACCCTTTGCTGCCTCTTCAAACTCTTGAATGCTGGGATTACCTGCGTGACCAAAAACCTACCTGTCATCTGCTGTTAGAACTCTCCCTTGGTCCACTTGGCAAAGACTAAGAGCAGGTAGTCCTGTCTGCTGCCCACTCTGGCCATTCCTTCTGACCTACTACTGCTTATAGCCTCTTCCCAACTTGGCCTCTAGATGTCAGCACTCCCCACCTTCAAAAAGTTAAAAAAAAAAAAAAACCCAAAAAACAATTATGTGTGTGTTTTGCCTGCATGTATGCAAGTGCACCACATGCTTGTAGTGCTTTTGGATGCTAGAAGAGGGCATTGGATCTCCTGGAACTGGGGAAACAGTGGTGTGAGCTACCCAATGTGGGTGCTGGGAATTGATCTCAGGTCCTCTGAAAGAACGGCAAGCACACTTAACTCTGAGCCATCTCTTTGGCCCTTAGCATATAAAATTACATTTTGTTTATTTTTGTTCTTGTGTGTGTATGCACACACCTCTGAAGGTCAGAACACAACATGCTAGAACTGATTTTCTCCTTCTACCGTGTGGGTGGGTCCCAGTAACAGTTTTTTGAATTTTTTTTTATCTACTTATTCATTTATTTGTGTGGCTGTATATCTTCCAAGGCACGCTGGGCATTGGTAGCACCCACCTTTAGTCCCAGCAATTGTGAGGCAGAGGCAGAGCCAGGGCTATGTAGTAAAACCCTGTTTCAAAAAAAAAAAAAAAGTAGGGGAGAGTAGTTCTACTTGAGGAGTCACAATCTTCAGTTCTTCTGAACCAGAGAAAGGGCTATGTGACACCAAGGTAAACAAATTTAGGTCTCCATAAGAATTAGGATAAGGTAGTATTCCTTGACCAGCAAAAAAAACAAAACAAAACAAAACAAAACAAAAACCCCAAAAAACAAAAAAACTTGCAACCAAACCTGATATCCTGAGTTTGATCCCTGGTACTTCTATGGTGGGAAAAGAGAACCAGCTCCTGCAAGTTGTCCTCTGGCAGCTGTATGTGTGCCTTGGGAGATGGTTTTTTGTTTTTTGTTTTTTGTTTTTTGTTTTTTGAGACAGAGTTTCTCTGTATTGTTTTGGAGCCTGTCCTGGAACTAACTCTGTAGACCAGGCTGGCCTCGAACTCACAAAGATCTGCCTGCCTCTGCCTCCTGAATGCTGGCATTAAAAGAGTGCACCATCACATATGACCCAGATTTTTGACTGCGATCCTCAATAAATTTAACTTTCCAAAACATCAGCAACCTGACCATGTCATCCCTACTGCTCATGGGATAAGCTTAATGTCCTCATGCTCTATACTCAGCTATATTTGTTCTCTGTGCTCTCTACCTCTTACTGAAGCTTGCAAGACCAGATTCCAGAGCAGCCTGAGTAGCCTAGAGTGTGCACCACAAAAGACTCCAGTTTGGGGGCTTCTCCAGCTCTGGGACCCCATGCATACATAAGTCAAGGTACACAAACCTCTGTTTCCTCGGGTCTGAACAATGTTTACCGAGTGCTTGCCAGTGCTGGTGCCTGAGGCCAAGTAGTTAGCAAATGTTTGGTCAGAAGGGCTGGGCCACTTGCTGACGTTGTCTAGAGCGATCCTATTCTAGAGAAGTAGGTGCTAGGTCCAGGGTGAAGGGCAAAGCTAGTTGAGGTCTATTAGAGACCTGGCTTTTCCGCCTATTATTTCCCCAAGGCTCACGTTTCTATGCTTGGGTGGTGTAACCAGCCCTAGGGCTTTAACCAAATTCCAACTCCGCAGGACCGGAATTGATCTAAACCAGGGAAGTGAGGTTTAAAGAGGACTTTCTTGCTACCTCACTCACTACCCGGGTTCCTCCCCCGATGGTACAATCATAATTATTTTCGCCAGGTGGCGCTACGCAACTGCTGTTGGCGGTCCACAGCCAAGGAAGAAAGCTAGACCCAGGCGGGAAGGAAACTGGGCAAGGTCCCGGGATCCTTGGAAGGTGGCCAGTTTCCTGTCCTTCCTTTCCATTATTTCTCTTCCTGCCCTGTTTCATTTCTCTGGATTTTTCTCTGTTTTTTTTTTTTTCCTTTCGTTACGCTGATCCCGCCTGCTCCAATTTGGGACTTTAAAGAGAAGCGCCATGTAGTCTGGGGGAGAAAGCCCTAGCGAGGCCTGGTAGATGGTGTGCAGAGCCATTACTGCCCATTAGGGTAGCGGCGCTTTCCCAGGACGATCCCAGCCTTTACCCAGTGTTAGAATAATGACTCCACCCCAGGAACAGCGTTTCCCAGGCCCTGCTCACACCTAGCTTTGGCTCTTTCAAGAGGGATGTACATACATTTTTAAATGTTTAGTGAAAAATTCGCTGTCCCACCATGGGTATAGGCCGGCCACAGTCTAGGTTGCCCTTAGATAATCCAAAAGAGGGAGGGTTGAGAGGTTGGAAATGCCAGCTCTCTGTCACATAGGTAACCTGCTTGGATAGTAAGTTGTAGGACAAGGTGACGCCTAGAGGGCGACATTTCTCAAAGCTTCTGATGACCTTCTCGTATGTTGCTGGCCTTGGGACTAGGTTTCCCTATCTTGAAGGATGAAAAATGCTGGGCAGTGGTGGTGCGAATCTTTAATCCCAGCACTCCCAGCACTCCAGAGGCAGAGGCAGGCCTCTCAGTGAGTTCGACCTGGTCTACAAAGAGTTTCAGGACAGCTAGGGCTATACCATTGAACTCTTACAGCCTCACTGGCCATCTTCCTATCCCATTTTCTGAGGCCCTCACCCCATGGGAGCATACACCTTCAAGCCTTGTTGGCCTGTTTCTACTTGCTACTCTACCTGCCTCTCAGGTCCACGGGGTGTCCTGTCTGCCTAAAGCCTCTGGGAGGATTAGAGAAGAAAGTCTAGGGGGTGTGGGCTTAAAGGAGTGAATCATCCCCCTCCCCATGTCCCATGACCACACCAGGCCTACATTTTCCTACTATGTCCGATGCTCATTCCTGCTCCCCCTTGAAAAAGGGTCATCCTTGGTCTGTCCTGGATATTTTCTTTTTATTTGGAGACAGGGTTTCACTATATAGTCCCAACTGGCCTGGAGCTCACAGGAATCCACCTGCATCCCCTTACCCAGTGTTGGGATTAAAAGTGTTAACCACGACATCTAGTTATATTTTCTTGTGTAAATAGGCATTTTCTTATCCAGTTTGATTTGTGGAGTACGTGTATTTTAATTGGGGATGCAAAAGTCAGGAGAGGGTGTTGAATCTCTAATGATGTACAGATTAAGGTACATAGAATGAGGATAAAATATGAGCTATATATTTTATTCTGGAAGAAGTCACTTACTGGAAAAACCAATGACCTCCAACTTCCCACTCCAAGGATCCACGCCCAGGCACTTTCTGTGACCTGACCAATGCCACATACTCACTACACACCTGTGACTATGCCCAAATGGGTGTGTGGTCAGTGCCACAGGTGTGACTGGACTGGGTGGAGCTCTCACTATAAGATTTAGGCTTGTATCAGAATTTAGGTTTGGCTGGGCAGTGGTTGCACAGGTCTTTGATCCTAGCACTCAGGAGGCAGAGGCAGGTGAATCTCTGTGAGTTCGAGACCAGCCTGGTATATAAGAGCTAGTTCCAGGACAGCCTCCAAAGCCATAGATAAACCCTGTCTCAAAAAAACCAAAACACCAAAACCCAAAAAACAAACAAACAAACAAAAAACCTACAAGATTTAGGCTTGATACAAAACTATACACAAAGACAGTAAATACCAAGTATGTTCTAGGCAAAGGAAAAGTAAGAACATACACACTTAGACCCTATTGCAGTGAAAGAACAAGAGCAAAATGGGAACAGCTACTACCCAGTCCTAGGGTGAAGGCATAACAGAGATTATTATAGAGTTGTTCTAAGCTGGAAAGTTTAAGTTTTGTATATAATATTTCTATCTAGGAAAAAACAATAATTGTGACAGTCTAATCTTAACCTCATCAAAGACCTGAGAAGGGAGATAACTATACTAGGGTAGGCAGAAAGTGCAGGCAAGAGCAGCTTCCAAAAGGTGCAGCAAAGACAGAAACAGCAGGCTACCTGGACAGCCACCTAAAGTCTCAAAGCAACGTCAGGGCAACCAGCTTTGGCTAAGGCCTAGAGTATCTGACTGACCAACATAGAAGCAGGAAGGTAGAAATGCTGTCTTACCCTGAATTGGCAAGGTTCAGCAGTCTTTTAAGTTTATTTCCTGCAACCACAGTAGGACAGCATGTCTAAAGTCAGCTGTTGAGGTGAGGGCAGTTCTTTGCCCAAAAGGTCATTAGCTGAGGAGAGGATGGACTCCAGAAGGAGTGACATCAGTGCCCAACATATTCTTGAAAATAGCTTGGGCTTGGTGCTGTCAGGAGCAATTGTGTCTCATGTCAACAGAGTACTAATATTAAAACATTTCAATGCCATGTTCTGCAGGTCTATGAAGTGTTTGAAGATCAAACATCTATGCCTGACTAATCTCATAGGTATAAGAAATATGGGTGAAAATATCTTTAATTCTCGGGGACCTAATTGTACAATGACAGAAGCTTCCCAAACTAATTTAGCAAGGACAGTAGTCTTATCCAACGAGCCATCTCTTCAGCCCGCTTTGTTTTTTTCTTGAGTCAGATTCTCATGTTGTCCAGGATGGCCTCGAAGTCACTATGTAGTTGAAGATGATCTTGAACTTCTCATCTTCTGGCTTTACCTCCCAAGTGCTCAGATTACAAGCATGATCCAAAGCAAGCACTCTTCCAGCTACATTCTCATCCCAGTCAGTACCTCAGCTTCCATTCAGTCTGAGGGTTTTTTTTTTTTTTTTAAGACAGGGTTTCTCTAGTTTTGGAGCCTGTCCTGGAACTTGCTCAGTAGGCCAGACTGGCCTCAAACTTACAGAGATCTGCCTGCCTCTGCCTCAGGAATAATGGAACTAAAGGCATGTGCCACTACCACCCAGCCTGATTTTAAAGTCTTTAAAAAGTGTTTTTAGAATTATTTATTTTCATGTATATAAGTGTTTGCTCTGCATGCATATGTGTGATCCACTAGCATGCCTGGTTCTGGGAGGGCATGGGATCCCCTAGAACTAGAATTAATGAAGAGTTGTAAGTTGACATGTGGGTCCTGGAAGTCAAATCTGGGTCCCTAGCAAGAACAATAAATGCTCCAAGGGCTCTTAATTGCTGAAACAATTTCTAGCCTTAAAGTCTCATTTTTCTTAAGTGATGGCTTTCAAAACATTTTGTTTGTTCCTGTTAAAAGATTTATTTGTTGCCAGGTGGTGGTGGCACAGGTCTTTGATCCCAGTACTCAGGAGACAGAGGCAGGTTGATCTCTGTGAGTTTCATGCCAGCCTGGTCTATAACTTGAGCTACACAAAGAAACACTGTCTCAAAAAACCAATATATATATATATATAAATATATATATATATATATATATATATATATATATAATTTGTTGCCAGGTATTGGTAGCTTCCAATATCTGCACCCCTAGAGAGTTTCTTTGTGTAACAGTTCTGATTGTATCGGAACTTGCTCTGCAGACCAGGCTAGTCTCAAACTCACAGAGATCCTCCTGCCTCTGTCTCTGGAGTACTGGGATTAAAGGCATGCAGTACCATGCCCAGCTCCAGCACACACCCTTAGTCCCAGCACTTGGGAGGCAGAGGCAGAGGCAGGTGGATCTCTGTGAGTTCCAGGACAGCCTGATCTACAGAGAAAGTTCTAGGACAGCCAGGGCTACCCAGAGAAACCTTGTGTGTGTGTGTATGGGTGTTTATTTGTTTATGTATTTTATGTATATAGGTGCTTTGTCTGCATGTATGTCTGCACACCAGAGGAGGGCATTGGATCCCATTATAGACGGTTATAAACTGCCATGTGGGTGTTGGGAATCAAATCTTGGTCCTCTTAAAGGCTGAGCCATTGTTTGTTCTTGTTTTTGACACATGATATCCAGGCTGGCTACAAACTCATCATCTTCTTGCCTCAGCCTCTAGAGTGTTGGGATTACAGAGGTCGTGCCTCTGGCTGCCTCTTTCTTCTTGTTCCACACTGCTGGCCCAGGCTTCCCCTGTGGCTCAAGCCCATGTCTAAGATGCTGCCTTGCTTTGTCACCTTCCTTGGTACTTCTCAGCTCTTTTGCTTTGGGAACTCCTTTGTCCTACTCTGTGACTGCAGTTCCTGGCTTCTCTGTGGCCACATGTTCCTGGTCTGGTTTTGTTCTCATCCCATCTTCATTCATGGGCAGAGTCTTTGGCAGAAAGCCAATGAGGGCCCAAGGTTGAGTTGAGAAGAAGTCCCTGGCCTTCCTTAACTCCTAGCCTGGAGAGCTCCCATCTTGCTAACCTCTTTAGTGTGACCACAAAAATGCAGTTAGCAGATGTGGGATGGTCCTGGTTGTTGTGGGATAACTTCCAAGTTCCACACAGGTGGGGTATACAGTGAACCTATTGTTTCTGCACATTATCTAACAATCTCCATGGATAACAGCATTAAGCTGGACCCAGAGGAACCAACCCTAAAACAGACAAACCCTGGATAAGGCAGGCAGATGAGGATGGCCAGCCAAACCAGAGCCTATGGCAGCATCATCCAGAATCTGCAGAGAGGGTTGGAGGCAGGGAGCAACAATGCATCTTCAGCCTAAGTGCCTTTCAGGGGCAGCCACTAGGGTGTGGGTACCCAAGAGGCTGCTGCCTATGATGCTGCTCAGAGGCAGGTCCTGGTGCTAGGGTGGAGGTGGAGAGCCCCAGCTAAGGGCTCTGGAAAGAGGAGAGGGAGAGACAAACACTGAGCTAGGCTGCATCTCCTATCCATATGGGGAATTGTATGAACTGGCTATACCTGACCCAGGAGGACCAGGTAAGTGAGGGCCAGTGGGCTGGGGAGAAGGAGGCTGTGGGTGAGCCTGGATTTCAGCTGTCATATATGCCTGAGAAGATACTTCAAGGTCACAGTGCAGTCTCACAGTGCTGGGCCCCAGCAGAGGTGCAGAACCTCCCTTTGCCAGGCCTCAGTTTCCTGACCTGTAAAATGGCATCTTTCCTCTAGGGTTGTTCTGGTGAAACTATATAGGAACACATAAGTGATTCTCTGAGGGACTACTGAGGGACACAATTGTAAAAGTAAAAGTGTATGGGGGACAGAGAATGGGAGACCTACAGGGGCTTAATATGGGACAGCTGGTCATGTGCCAAAGTCCATCCTCAGCACAGTTCATACCAGGTCAAGAGGAAGGCAGCAAATACCCTCCCATCTCTGCCAGATAAACTCATGTTCCCGAAAAGCAGGGACTATGGGGACAGGATGTTTAGTGGACACACACTTCCTGGGAGGGGAAGGGGGGTCACCCAGTCACTGGTATGTCTCTTTAAATTTGTATTTTTGCCTGTTGCACTCTGGGTTGGGGATCTAAATTCAGGGGCCAAAGAGGGAGCGGTCAGAGAAATCCCGATGGATAGAGGGTGCATTCTGAGGACGGAGAGCAGAGGCCCCTGCTCTTGCCCGCTGGTCTCTGTGTAGGGGTCCTTTCTCTAAGCTCCCCATTTGAGATACCTCTTCAATGTAGGGAATGTCGGGTACGCAGGTGTCTAAAAGAGTGGTTCCTGGAACAGAAGGCGAAGGTGCTGGCTCTACGGAGGGTGGCCAAAATGGAATGAGATAAGAGTCCCAAGGACTGGGGGTTGCGACCCTGCAATCTTCACTCCATGGTCTGGGCTCCCAGGCAGGGGCCTAGCTAGCGGGGTTTGGGCTAGGGCGGGGGCAGTCAGGAGGGCGGAGAAGGGGCGGGCGCGGGGGCGGCGCTGCAGCAGGGGCCAGGGCCAGAGCCGAAGCCGGAGCCCCAGGCGACGCGAGCTGAGCGGGAGCCACCGAGGCCGCTGCCTGCTCTCCCGCCCGCGCCTCCGCCGCCTCCGCGCTCCAGCCTGCGGGTGGTGTGAGCCGTGGCCAGTCGCCGCCACCCAGGGGGCAGCGGGTGCCATGGCCGCGCCGGAGTCGCTGCGGCCCCGCCTGTGTCGCCTGGTGCGCGGCGAGCAAGGCTACGGCTTCCACCTGCATGGCGAGAAGGGCCGCCGTGGCCAGTTCATCCGGCGCGTGGAGCCAGGCTCCCCAGCCGAGGCTGCTGCGCTGCGCGCCGGGGACCGCCTGGTTGAGGTCAACGGCGTCAACGTAGAGGGCGAGACGCATCACCAGGTGGGTTCTTGCGCTGCGCCCCGCCCCCGGCTCCCTCCTGGGGGCGCGTCCCTGCAGCGCTGGCCAAGATGCCAACGACCCCCCACTTCTGCGTACCGCGTGGTGGGACCTGGCAAGGGTCGCACAGGGGCCTGCTTGAGTTCGGTGTCGAGGTGTGGGACGTGGCCGGCCAGCTGGCCTCCTGGTGAGGAAGCTCAATCCTGCACCAGAGGGGGGGCACATCCTGGTAGGGAGGGGCCGCACTGCGGCTACTCTGGCCAGGGCCCTGGCTGCTTCTGCTAGTTTTGGCCTCTGTGTGCCATGGAGGAGGAGGTGGCTAAGGCACCTTGTGGCCTTGTGGTACAGATGCTTTTCGGTCAATGTGTGAGAATGTGTGTGTGCTTGCAGGTCTCTGGGGTCATCAATATGAACACACTACCCAACTGTTCCAGGTTGAAAGCATACATTGTCAGTGCTGGAATGTGTGTCTAGGGTTGTGTGGATACATCAAGCATGAGTGCCAGCTGTGTCTGTCTGTCTGTCTGTCTGTCTGTCTGTCTGTCTGCATGCCTGGTTATACTGATGTACTTCTCATGGGCCATTGATTGGGTCTGGCAGAGTCAGTTCCATGGCAGCATACTCCTTGGTGTCAGAAAGAGCCTCCTCCTGAGGGGGCTGCCTGGCCTTCCCTGTATAGGTCATTGTCAGGCTCTTGCCTCCTGCAGCCAGGGGAAGGCTGTTCTTTCTGCAGGTTTTACCCCTGGGTGTCTGTATCCTACTGAGGGGTAGATACATCTCAGACCTTGGCTAAGACCCAGCCTTCTTCCCCCTGTTTCTGGCTGGATCCCTGGCACCAGCATGTCCATGACCCATGACCCAGGTCCATGGACCTGGAGAGAGCAGGGTGGTTCTTTGGTGGGCCATGAGGGAATTCCTGTCTCCCCCAGGGACTTGCTTTCTACCTACAGTGACCACTGGATTTGGTTGTGTGCTGAAGAGGTTGGGCGTAGAGCCCAAAGGTGGGCCCACAAGGCAAGGGAGAGACTGGCAGAGTTGGTATCATCTGCCTGGAGCAGTTACTGGAATCCACCTGTTTATCCCAGGTTTCTGGGGAGCTAGTCCCTAAAGACTTTTACATAGAGCCACATTAGATCCCTTCTATTGCTCAGGAAGGTAGGAGGTAAAACTATGACTCTCATTTTATGACAGAGAGTGGGTGACTGGCTGGGTTCCCATGCCAGAAAGCATCAGGGTGCTGGGATCCTGTTCTGTTGGTCACAGGGAGAAGAGGATCACTGAGGGACCAGGTGAAGATGGCTTTGGGTCAGACCTTCCTATGTGATAGCACAGCATGTACTAAGTGAAGTAAAGATGGAGATCCTGTCTCTTCACCCCCAGGCCCTGGGGGTGTGGTTGTTAACGCTTCCTGCCCTTCAGATGTCCAGTGGGCATGTCTCCCTTTGAACTCATACTAACATCCTGCATGATCCATGGCAGCCCACATGCTCTCCACACTTCACAGGCACCCATCCAGATACACAGATGGCTGCAGAGCCACACCTGTTCCACTGTTGTGCCTGGAGCAGAATCCTGCTTACCTGATATTTCCCATACCTTAGGTAGGATCCCTAGAGTCATACTGCATCTCAGAGAAAGAAATAGGCCCAAATACTCACATTGGGGCCAACTAAGATGTTGCCCTCTCCTACACCTAGGTAAAAGATAGACTTTAAAATAGACACACACACACACACCACATACATATTGCATGCACACACACATGCATAGCTGGACTGAAATCCTGAAGCTCAACTTAACAGTTTCTGTCTCTTCCATCTGGCTGCTCCTGGCAGCTCCTTCCTGTCCTTACCTGAGCTTGGTGCAATGCCACAAGAGGACCCTGAAGGACTTGCAGCCTGGGCCCTAGCTCAGGCAGAAGAGGGAGGGAGCTACTGGAAACTGGGGGTGGGGGGTGGAGCTCACAGGCTTCTTAGTTCAGCTGCCCACCCCTGGCAAGCCAGCCCCAGCCTGTTGTCTGTGAGCCGTGCTTTGCTGGGAGTGGTGCCCTTTCGAAGTAGTGCCCTATCCATGTGTTGCTCAGGGTGTTGGCTGCTGACCCAGTCCTGCTACCCACCCATTCCAGGTGGTACAGAGGATCAAGGCTGTGGAGGGGCACACTCAGCTGCTTGTGGTGGACAAGGAGACAGATGAGGAACTCTGCCGGCGGCAACTGACCTGCACTGAGGAGATGGCTCATCGAGGGCTTCCACCAGCCCACAACCCCTGGGAGCCAAAGCATGACTGGGCATGCTCGAGCAGCCTTGGCTCGGACACTGGCCAGAAGGTATGGTGGGCTATGTCAGTGGGGATAATGAACCTTTTCCAGAACTTTTGGTAATATCTTTACTTTGATCACATGTTAGCCTCCATTTCTTAGGGCCCTTTCCCTCCTGCGGTAGCCACTATCTATGCCCTGGGTGACCATTTGTGGCTATTCTTTCTTTGTTCCCTCTACTTCAGGTTCCAGTGGTTGAGGAGCCTTGGTTGGAGCTTCTGGGACACTAAAGACTATCTGCTAGATACCTGTTGTCCTGGGCTCTCTCCATGTCTCTGTCTGGAATATCCATGTGCTCTGAGAGCCTTGGGTGGATTAGATCCTATTATAGTGGGGTGGGGATTCCAACACAGGTGGGAAATGGGGACAAGGATAGGGACTGGCACTCAGATGAGCTGCGTGTGGGTGTGGGTCCTCCTAAGGAGCTTCTGGGATGAGTCCTTCCCTTGGTTCCCCTCCCCTAGAGAGCCTATGTGCTGTTGTCCCATGGCTCCTGCTGGAGTCCTCCTCCTCCTTGTCTCCTTCCAGGATAGATCTGGAAGAAACAAGGGAAGGTCTGTTCCACCTCAGTAGCTACCAGGGCAGAACCTGGGGCAAGGAGGAAGGGCCCGAGCTGTTTGTTCTGCTTTTTGGAGGCCCTGGTGTTGTTGCCTCTTATGTCTTCTAATTATTATCTGAGCCAAGGGTTCCCCACATCCAACTCCGAGACCTATTGGCTGAGTGTTGCTGGAGGGTCAGGTGAAATTTCAGACCTTAGCATTTGCCTTTGACCTCACCAAATGTATCCTGCTTGAGCTGGCTGGGCCTGTGCTGATCCCTGTAGGACCTGTCTGGAGGCTGGGAGATGACATTCCCAGTGGTAAGGCCAACCTGGGCAAAGGTCTCAGCTTTGAACCTATTGGTACTTTTCAGAGATCTGAGGGCAGGTGCAAGCCCTGGGATCTAGATTCTGGCCTCTGGCTATTTAAGATTGGGAGTCTTTAGAAGGTCTTGAGGGAACAAGATGGTGCCTGGCCCACCTTCCTCTGGCTGAGGGCTAAGAGCCTCCCTCTTCCCCAAGTACCCCTTTCTCCTGCTTAGGAAGAAGGCCCCCCCTCCTGCCCATTCATTTAGATGCAAACAGCCCTGTTCACCTTCCTGTGGAAAAATCCACCCTGGGGCCTTATCTGGAGATGGGGTGGCCCAGGCCCCTTGGCTGTGGGTGGGTCCTTCCCTGTCATTGCTATTTCAGGCTTGGAGGGGCTACAGGAAGCCCTAGGAGGGGGCTTCCTCTGGGCGTATTTTTAGAGAAACAAAAGGGGGTACAATGGGCCTGTCCCGTTGTAGATGGGTCAAGTCTAGGAGGCATAGGAGCCCAAGGGACAGTCTTCTGGAAGAGAAAGGGGAGCCTCATATGGCCTCTACAAACCAGGCTTAAAACACCCTGCCTCAGGCTGGATGTGGGAGCCTCAGAGGGTTGTACTCTGAGGGGGGGTTGGGGGCTCGACAGACTGTCAGGTATGTGTGCGTGTCTGTGCTCTGCTGTAGGTAGGGTCGGGGTGTATATTAGGTGCCCCTGTAGGAGGTGACGGCTTTCCCATCGTCCCTGAATTTGTGTCCTCTGCCCCAGCCTGCAGGGTAGGGGAGGTGGGACAGGGAAGAACACTGGTATGGTCTGCCCCTCCCTTTGGGGGGCGGGAAGGCCTAGTCAGTGGTGACTCAACCCTAGACCATTCAGGGCTGGGGGTGGCTGCAGCTGCAGGGAGATGATTCTAACAGTGACGACAGGGACAGCCCCCAAACAGAGACCCAGCAGCTAGCAGTGCCAGGGACAGCAGGGTAGTGATGGTCCGTGCCTTTCCACGCCTTCCATCCTACCATGTCTATACCTCTGGAGGACTTGGGGACTGAGTTGGGGATGTATAACTCTGCAGGTGGTGGCTTCACGATACAGGATGCTGTAGAACAAAGAGATAGCAGCAAAGCTTTTGGGACTCCCCTGGTTCTTTCTGTCCTTTTCTTTCTCCCCCCCCCCATCCACTGTCTTCTGTTCTCCAGCCAGGGTCCCCTCCCTTGACTCCCTGTCCCCACAGCCCTGGGTCCTGGAGCAGGGCAGGGCCTCCCAGCAGCTTCCTTCCTTCCTTTCTTGGGACGGAAACCCAGTTGGGTGTGGGGGGCGCCAGACAGGGGAGGGGGTCCAGTAACCACCCTGCTACCCAAAGTGAGTCAGCCCCTATGTTCCCACCCATCCCCAGGGAACCTGGGCCACAGTGAGAGGTAGATAAGTGGGGTGGCAGTCTCTGCTGGCCCAAGAGCTCAGGCCGCTCCAAGCTGGTCACCTGCTGCTTGCCTTTCCAAGCCCACCTCTCATGGCTCGCTCCGGAAATGCCATGCTGCCTGCCTCCACCCCAGGAGCTCCTCCACAGAACTCCCATCCGGGGCTTGTTCAGGTCAGGTGGGATGGGGACAGAGCTGGGCTGTCAGGACCCTAGCCTTAGTTCACTCTCTGGGAAGGGACAGGGAACTTGGGGATGTTTGTGCCTGTAAGATGGACCCCAAGCAACAATGGGGGCCTTTCTCTGCTGGGGTTGGTGAGTCATTATCTGGGGGGGCTGGCTCCTAGGGCACCCCCATATCAGCCTTTGTTTGGCTATAGGCTCAGCAGGGGTACTGGGGCTTGCCCAGCTCTATGGCTCTGTGTCTCAGAGCCGTGGGAGCCAGAGAGGCCTGTCTAAAGAAGGCAGGAAGTGTGCTCACAGCTAGGGCTGGGAGGAAGAATTCCAGCAATGCACCCCTCCCACTGCTCGTGGGGGCATCCTACCCCCACTTGTTTGCTCTAGCTGTCCCCCTCTACCCCACAGGCTTGAGGGTGCATTGCAGTCCTTGTACTTGAGGGTCTTATGCCAGGCCTGGCACCACTTGGACTCTGCTTGTGGTCAGAGATACTTGAGGCCAGTTGACAAAAGGGATCTTTTAGCCTGTGCTTAGAGGTGGCTCATTTGGCTTGGGGTTGGGGGTTGGCCAGAACAGCCCCTCAGGAGTAGTCCCCAGTTTCATGGTCACAATAACTTGCCAAGTCCTGCTTCCCATTTGGGAGCCCAAGAAACCCTGCCCTGCAGGCTACCACAGAGGCCGTGGGAAGAGGCCACAGGGGGCAGTGCCATGAACATAAGCTTGCATGTGTGGGTGGCTGTGTGTGTCCATGTTGCTTGTTTATGAGTGTAAGCTTGGATGTCTTGTCTCCATGGCCACAGGGTATTGTTTTGTCTATTTCTCCAGTCTCTCTCCCTTGTAAACTAGTCTCTTGCTGTCCCAGGGTATGTTTTGACAGGTACCTCTGTTAGGGCCTATCAGAGCCTTGCCCCAAAGCCTGCACATATCTTTAGCTATGTCTTTTCAAGCTGACAATTCTGTGCAGTGGGGTTCTGACAATCTCTGAGGCCTTACAACCCCAAGTTCAGCCAACATTGCCGAGCGGGACCCCTGGGGGACTAGGACTCTGCTTGTGGTCAGAGATAGTTTAGCTAGTTGACAAAAGGGATCTTTTAGCCTGTGCTGAGAGGTGGCTCATCTGGCTTGGGGTTGGGGGTTGGCCAGAACAGCCTCTCAGGAGTAGCCCCCAGTTTCATGATCACAATAACTTGCCAAGTCCTGCTTCCCATTTAGGAGCCCTTGGTAATTCTTGGTGTAAGAAAATCCAGCTGGGCTTTGGGTCAAGGAAGGGGTCCTGAGTGCAGGCCAGACAAAAAGAGGGTATCCAAGTTGAAGGTACCACCCAGAACCCCAAAGCCAGGAGTGGTCCTGCATGGAAGGGTGTAGTTACTCCGGCAGCTGGCTGCTACCCATGGGCATGGATAATACCACATTAGGGCTTGGAGCTAGATATATGCCTATAATTCAAAAACAAAAGATCACTTTGAGTTTTGAGTTTGAGGCTAGCCTGGGTTATAACGTGGGGCCTTCTTGCCAAAACACCAAAAAGGGAGTATAGAGGGCAGATGGAATAGTCAGAGGTATTCTGGGGTGGGGGAAAACAGGTACCTGAGATTTAACAATCTGCCCTGAGACCTGAAAGAACCTCCCTGCTCTATGATCCCCCAGCCATCAGATATGCAGGGACAGGGGTAGTAGGTGAGGGAAATGCCCCCAGCCAGCACATTGTCACCTGCACACACACCTAGAAATCTGATCTGCCACCTGCCTGCCCACCCCAGCCACTGGCCCTGTGTAATTGGGCACCAGCAGCCACTGGCCATTCAGCAGCAGTCTCTGCCTTGGCCCCTGGCTGGGGTGGGAGGTCAACAGGCTGGCCCCTGCCTTCATAGCCTCCTGACCCAGAGATCTACTGCAGGATGCCAGAGGTAAAGCAAGGCAGCCTGGGGCAGCGGTAGGGGGTCCCTGTGGGTTGCCATGAGCCCTTCCATGTTGTGGGCTCGGAAGCATTGTAGTCTAGGAGTGGCTGTCACTGCGTCTTTCCTACTTGAAGCCTCTTCTTTCTGGGCCCATGGGGTGGGGGCAGTGGTTCCAGTTAGTGCTGGAATTCAAAAGCAAACAGCTGCCACACAGCCCAGGGAGCCTTTTGGAGGCCTTGAGGAGAAAACAAAGCTGCTCCGGCCACCAAGGCACCAGCTCTGCAAAAGGCAGGCAAAGGAGGGGGAGGTGAACCCTAAGGCACAGTCTTGCTAGGTGCTATGATGGGGGCCGCTATCCCACCTGGCTCACCAAGCTGTGCAGTGACCCCATGAATTCTTCCATGGCTCCTGCCAGCAGCTATCTCATTAGATATTTACATGTTTGGGAACAGACTTTGTCACTAAACTCACAGCTAAATCTGTGTTACAGGCAGCTTTGGGGACTAAGCCCCTCAGTCATGGGGCACAGAGTACTTATCAATGAAACCTGGGATTGGTTCCTGACAGCATAGGACTGGAAGGCTGGGGGTGGATCCTGATGTCACCTCCTTTGTGTTTACAGGATGTCAATGGGACTCCAAGAGAGCTGCGCCCCCGGCTCTGCCACTTGCGAAGGGGACCCCAGGGCTATGGGTTCAACCTGCACAGTGACAAGTCTCGGCCTGGTCAATACATCCGCTCTGTGGACCCGGGCTCACCTGCTTCCCACTCCGGCCTCCGGGCCCAGGACCGGCTCATTGAGGTACCCTGGGTTGCTATGCATTTGTATGTCCCTGGGTGTCCATGTCTGGGTCCTGGGTCCCTGCAGGAGGAGGGGAGACACAGGGAACTTGAGCTGGCACTCCTCTTGCTGCCTCGGCTGGTGGTGGCTTCGATGAATATTTGATGGCACACCTGGCTGGGTGGCATTGGGCCGACTGGGCCCTTCAGGCCTTTCTGACCCTGTGTGGGTGGTGGCAGGTGAATGGGCAGAATGTAGAGGGGCTGCGCCATGCTGAAGTTGTTGCCAGAATCAAGGCACGGGAGGATGAAGCTCGGTTGCTGGTGGTAGATCCTGAGACAGATGAACACTTCAAGCGGTTGCGGGTCATACCCACTGAGGAACATGTAGAAGGTAGGCTACTACCTCAGGGGCTCAGGGTAAGGTCAGTGCAGTCACTAACATGCTGTTCCCACAGGTCCACTGCCGTCACCAGTCACAAACGGGACCAGTCCTGCCCAGGTGAGAGGGTAGGCCCATGTGATCATACGTGGACCTCCACCTCTGTGTCCCCAGACGGGACAGAGGCTGCTTCTCTTGGAGATTCCTGCCCTTGAGGATGTACAGTTGTGAAACCTATTTGGCTTGGCCACCTCAAAAATACCCACTGTGTTAGCCATGCATGATGGCATACACCATTAATCCTAGCACTTGGGAGGCAGAAGCAGGTAGATCTTTGAGTTTTGAGGCCAGCCTGGTCCACAAAGCAAATTCCAGGAAAGCCAGGGCTACATAGAGAGAGACCCTGTCTCAAAACAAAACAAATACCCTCTGTGGATCTTGTATGGGGTCAGCACTGGGGCTCACACAGGGTGGGAGTGTACCCGGGGTCCTAGGTTACCCTCAGGTGACATCCACATAGCTAATTCCCATTGCCACAACTGCTCTCCCCTATCATGATTGGCCAGGTTGGGCTTGCCTGTTCACTGATAGGTGCCAGTTATGTGCTGGCCCAGACAGTGCAGAGTAGATGTAGTTGTGCTGTGTATGCTCAAAATTGAACTGTGTATGTGTGAGCAAGTGAAGATCTAGGTGCACCAGGATGGGGATGCTGAGACCACAACCTACCCTTACTTTTCTAGCTCAATGGTGGCTCCATGTGCTCATCCCGAAGTGACCTGCCAGGCTCAGAGAAGGACAATGAGGTAACTCTGCTGGGGTGCTCACACACGGGGTTTGAGAGCTTAAGAGTTCATCTCTATGGAAATATCTACCAGGACAGTGAGGCTACCACTTCCAAGAAGCCTCTTAGGCTAGTTGCCCTAGGCCCTGAGGTAGCCTCTGGTGTAAGTTCCAGGGATATGGCTCACTGTTTGCACCTCACTCGTACCCAGGATGGCAGTGCCTGGAAGCGAGACCCCTTCCAGGAGAGTGGCCTCCACCTGAGTCCCACAGCAGCTGAGGCAAAAGAGAAGGCTCGAGCTACGCGGGTCAACAAGCGGGCACCACAGATGGACTGGAACCGGAAGCGAGAGATCTTCAGCAACTTCTGAGCCCCTCTCTGCCTGTCCAGGGGCCCCAGGGTCTCTTCAAGCACAGACCTTGGACCTTTCCGGAGCTCCCCAAGCCTCAGCAGACTGGAGGGTGGTATCACGCCACCCAGAAAACAACCCATGACCCCATGAACCCTTGTCTTGTCCACTGGGTGCTGTGGCTGTCAGCAGGATGTGGGAAGAAAGAATCCCAGAGATGAGAGACAGAGACAGAAACAGACAGAGAGACAGAGAACCAGTGAGAGAGGGAGGAGCCTATGAATGGTGGTCTGCCAAGGCCTTTGCTTTTCTGCCTCGGGCCTGCTGACTGGAAGGAATTCATGTTTTCGCTTTTTTTCCTAAAAGGTCCCCAGCTCCACATATGTTTCTAGTTAATAGTGGAGCCCCCTCCCCCAGCCCCTTGGGACTCACTCTCTGAATAATTGCAATAAAACAAACCTTTCTCTGCAAACCCTTTCTTACCCACCCTGTCAGCAACACCATCCTGAGCAGAGACCAGGGACTCCAGGGAACAGACAGCCAGGGGCCCGCAAGGGCCAGATGTGCCTGTAGGAGCTAACACTGTCCCATCCTCACTGAGGGAAGGTCCCTAAGCCAAGCCTCTCTTTGCCTCCCACATGCTGGGTTCTGGAATGCAAATCCTAGGCTCTCTGAGGGGCCAGAGGATGGTGGTTCTATGACTCCAAGAGGGGAGGGAAGCATTTGGACCAGCTCCTCATACTGCTCTGCAGCTCCTGGACCTGGAGACAGTGAGTCTGTGTGAGCCATTCCCAGGTATGATCCTGGGCTCTTGGGCCTGGCCCCTGCCTTATGTCTACCTGGCACCCACTTTCTGCCCTTTCCTTAGTGTTCTCAATGCCCAAACTCACTTATTGACACTGCAGTCTGCCTCATAAGCCATAGCGCACGCGCGCGCCCTCAAATTAAACAGGCCTTGCCTTGGACTCTGGCGCCTGTGTCGTTTCTGAGTCTTCAGTTGAGGGGGCGGGGGTGAAGAATAAGGGCCATTCTAGAAGATCCTTAGGTAAGGAATGACACCATCTCCTACTTCTCCAAGACCTGTTCTGTTAAGCCTTGTGTCCAGCAGCCCAGAGTCTAGGTCTCTAGAGTTCTCTTTAAGGTGGGGGTGGTTTCTGGCACAGGCTAAGCACGAGTTCAGAAGCTGGAAGATTCAGGGAAGTGCTGGGGCCACAGGACAGAGTGTGAGAGTTCACAAGGACACATAACACACACACACACACACACACACACCCTGCCCAGACTTCCCAGCAGCTGGCTGCAGCTGGCTCTCTTCCCTCTCTCTCTCCCTCTCCCTCCCTCCCCAGGATACAGTATGTCCCCACACAGCTTCCCAGGCAGTCCTGCCCAACATGTGAACATAGTGTAGACACTGCATTCATATACATGCTTCTTGGCCTGATCCTAGCCAACTGGGCTAGAAGTCAAGTGTGAATAACCCCCCAGCTTTATTATATACCCTGCAAACAACCCTCAAACCTCATTAACCTTCCCCACAAAGGCACTTCACACTCTGGCCAGAGGAAGCCCTCTGACCCTTAGAGGTCCTGGGCAGCAGGGCACAGGGCCTGGTTGAGGCAGGCCTGGCACTGAGGATGGATAGGAAGGCAGATCTGTTGGCCAAAGCCCACCAGCAGTCCATTGATCTCACTCCACAGCCCCCTGTGAGGGTAAGGGGCATGTCAGTGTGTAAGAGGGCAGGGCTGCTCCCTCCCCCAGGCTCATCCAGCTACACTGTACCTGGGTAGCCACTCCTCCAAGGCTATGCGAGTCTCCTCTGGGGTCTTGGTCACCTTCTTGGTCCACCTCAGTCGGTTGGTGATTCTGTGCACATGTGTGTCCACTGCTGCTTGGAGATAGGGTAGGATGAACAAGGGCACTCTGCCAGCTGGACTCTGCCCCATCCAGTCCTAAGCAAGAGCCCAAGGCCTCTTGGACCTCTAGACAAGATGGGAACATGGAGCCTGAGAGAAGTCACCGCATCTGCATGGCTGGCTGAGACTGGTGTGCAGGTAGCCTGTTTATGTTTAGTTTGTTTGAGACAGGGACTCTCTTCATGGCCCTGACTATCCTGGAACTCACTATGTAGACCAGGCCTGCCTCAGATTCAGAGATACACCTGCCTCTGCCTCCTGAGGGCTAGGGTTAAAGGCGAGCAGGTGGATCGGATCTCTGAGGTCAAAGCCAGTCTGTTCTACAAAGCAAGTTCCAGGACAGTCAGGGCTACACAGAGAAACCCTGTTTCAGTATGAAAAAAAAGTGTGGGACAGGCATGAGGCATGGTGGGTGGCTCCTATCTAACCCCAACACTTAAAAGGTTGAAGTAGAATTGCTGAGTTCAAGGGTAGCCTGGGCTACAGAGTAAGATTCTGTCTCAAAAAAAAAAAAAAAAAAAAAAAAAAAAGAAAAAAAAAGAAAAAAATTCAACTCCCTATCCTGAGAAAAACAAAATCCCCGAGCCCTAAAGTGTGTGCTCTTGATCCAAAGCCTCCTCAAGAATGGGGCCTGGACCAGGGAGGGCCTTGCTCTACTTCCTTTGCCATCTTCTGCAGTCCCAAGTCCCCCACCCCACCAGCCCATCCACTGGCTGTGAACACTGGGCTAGGTGGCAGCAGCATGGCCCAGGGGGCTGGCCTGAGCTGGTTCCTGCTACTACATCCCCTGGGGACAGGGTGGAGAGCAGGGTCAGCCTGGCTCGGCTGTGCTCCCACCCGCTGGCCTCTGCAGGGATTCAGCCTCCTGCCTTCACCCAGGCCACTGCAGTGCCTGCCCTGCTTCTCTAAGGTGTGGCAAACCATTAGCCAGTCCCCATGCCAGCTTCTGACTTGCTTATTGCCTGAGAAAAGACTAGGGGGTGCAGGCTGAGGGGGTCACATTGTGGAAGCCTTAAGCCTCAGTTTCCTTCTCTGTAACAGAGGCGATCATACTCCTTAGAACCCCATTGGCCCAATCCAGGACCACATCATGTAGGAGCCTCCTATGCTGGCCAGAAGAGCTTCCTAGACTTCTGTATTGTTAAGCAGGGCTGTTATTTCATTGGCTGTGAAGTCAAGTTCAGAGAGGCCAAGTGTGTGACTTAAGGTCACCCAGCTGCAAGGGTCAGAGCTCCATCCTTGCTTTTCAGTTAAGAGGACATCATTTCTCCCTAGGAAGCAGCCCTGGGATCTCACTGGAGGTAGCCAGGCCCTCAGATTACAGAGAAGTAGGTGGCATTCATATACTGCCCTGTTCACTGGAAGCGCAATTCCCTGAAGGGGCCCTTCCCCCCACATAGCTACCCGACCATGGTACTCCCGGGACACAGATAAGCTCAAGTGTCGACTAAGAGGCTGCTGGCAGCTGCTGAGGAGTGGAGACTGAGGCCTCACCACTTCCTACCTGTCAGGTTTTTCCAAGGCTTGCTGTTCTCCACTCTCAACAGGTGGTCATCAGCTCCCAGTCAAAGCTCTGGGCCCCCAGCTGCCCTCTCCCCACTGGGCAGCACTACTGTGCTACGGGCTTGGTGACCCTGCTGAAGGACCTGTCCACCAGGCACGCACAGGAGCCAGGGGTTGAGGCCCCAAAGAGGTCAAGGCTAAATCTTGGTTTCCATGTGACCACAGGAGCCCCAGTTACTCGGGGTAAAGATCTGAGGAGGCAGGACTTCTGTCCGTGCCCCAGGGAGTATTGTCTTCAACTTAGCTACAGAGGTGCTTCAAATGCTGGGTGATCATACCCAGAAAAGGAATTCCAGAAATGACCCTCCTTCCCCATCCCAGCAGACCACCCTTCCCCTCTCAGCCTAGGTTTCCTTGATTTGCCCCACCTATTCTAGATCTTCCTCCTCTGTCATCCAGCTGTGCAGCTGCTATTCTTTCTGCCTGGGACACACTTGTACCTCTTGGTCTGGCTAATTCACTAGAAACCCTAAACGGAAACATGACCTCAGGAAGACTTCCCAGAGTTAGGCACATCCGTGTGTGATTATAATCCCAGGACTTAAATTGAGGTCAGTGCTGGGAGTTGTGGCTCACACCTTTAGTCCCAGCACTGGGGGGGGGGGAGGGGGGAACAGAGGCAGGTGGATCTCCGTGAGCTCCAGGACAGCCAGGGCTGCACAGAGCGACCCTATCTAGAAAAACCAAAATCAAAACAAACAATAACAAACAGAAAAGGCTTCCCAGATCCTGGAAGCCTTGGTCAGGCTTCACAGGGCTGTCATACCACCCACCCACCTATCACCCTCTCTACACAGGTGAAGTACTCGTCATTGACTGCAGTATGTAGAGAGCACCTGGCTTCAAGGTCCCTCACAGAGATCAGCATGCAAGAGGAGCTCAGTGCCCAGCTGTGAGCTTGCTCAGCACCGTGATACCCTTTGATACTGTTTTGAGTAACAAAATATTTAGGGAATTCTTATAGAAGCAAGCAAGCTTATAGTTGACTTTCTTCCTCCTTGTGACACAAACCACTCACCTATGCCTGATATGGATCCCCAGGCTACAGCCATAGCCAAGTGTGCCATCTTGGGTCCAACACCTGGCAAGGCTACCAGCTCTGCCACGGAAGCAGGGATGTCCCCTTCATAGTGCTGATGCAGTATGGCGGTTGTCTGCTTGATGAACTTTACCTTGTTCTGAAAGATGGTAAGTCAGGCTTGGGGTGAGGGCCCACAGGTATCTAGAGTTGCACATCACCTGCCCATGTCTCATGTAGAGATATCTACCTGTCCTGCCTCTCCAGGAGGTGAGGATCCAAAGGCAGCAAAGAGGCCTGAAGGAGATCCTAGCAGGACTCCAATACATGCCTAGAGCTACCTCCCACTAATGTGAGCCAATGACATGTGTGTGGGAACCAGCATGGGTCCCATGCCTCAGCATTCCCTCCCCAGAACCTAGACTCAGTAGCACCTGGACCTTCAGGAAGGAAGGCTGGAGCCTGGGGCTCCCCCAAGCAACTGCCAGACCCGCTGGGTGGTTCCCATCCTGTGCCTGAGTGGAGAGAGCTATTTAAAACCAATCTGATAGACACAAGGGGAAGCAGCCCCACCCACAGAGCCGCTTTCAACAGATCCACCCACCACCCAGGGTTCTGTGGAGTAGGGGAGCAGCCTCTTTGGAGTGGTGCACTCCAGGGAGCCTAGGAGGGGAAGGGAGGAAAGGGGAGGGCAGGCAGCTAGGTGGGAGGGTAGAGGAATGAAGGGATGTAAACAGGAAAGTCCCAAGAGCTTCAGGGACAGGGAACTAACCCTGTAGTCAGAAATGCCTGCCCACCAAAAATAAGGCTTACCCTCCAGAAGCCCACAGGGTAGATGAGCCTGCCCAGCATGTCATCATCTGTCTGTAGGATGCTTTCCACAGTCAAGCCCCGGGCCCGTAGGCGCTGCATGGCACCTGCTGTCACCTGGTCTTTGGTCTGGCTGGAAAGCATCAGCGATAGGAGTATCTGGTACCTCTGCACCTGTTTGTGCAATGACAGGTGCCAGGATGGTGACTGATCCTAGTCATGACTCTTACCCATCTTTACTTGTTATCCTGAACTTCTCACACATCAGGGATAGTGGGGTCTGTCTTGTCACACCTAACATGGACTAATATCTGCCTCTATAGAGTAGTGTGACACTCCAATGAATGACCTATTATGGAGTCGATATTAGACAACCACAGGCTACTATGGTTATTGCTAGTGCTTGGTTAATGATAACACTACTCATGTTATAGACAAGAAGGCGCAGAGACAGAAGTACTCAAGTCCTCCAGTATAGAAGGTGTTAGTCTAAGGAACCAGTGCAATGTAGGGGGCTCTCCTTTTCTCACATTACCCAGTGTCCCCAATGCTCCTACTATGCATGAGGCCTCAAGTCACAGGCACTCCTGACAAGCACAGTGGTCACAAGGAATGACAGACGATGCATGCTGTCCAGTCTCCAAAGTATTAGGGGTACATC